ATGTTTCATTCGAATCGAACATCTAAATTATTCTCACTTTAAAATTATTATTAAACTTTTCAAAATTATTATTTCATATTTCATATTTCTTTCCTTTTTCTTTTTTTTTGCAAACAATTAAAAATACACGTACCTCTATGTTCATTAATATGAATTATAAATATCTATGATATATTTAAATATATTGACACTATTCTTTAGCATTAAAATTAAAAGTTAAGGATAAACGAAACTCGAATTGAAATAAATGCATTATCCACGTATACAAGAAGGAATTGTATATGGCAAAAGAGGGAAAGGAAAAAGTGATTCTTTTTTAATTCGATCGTCGAACGATCTATGATACGAAATAAAATACGAAAACTTAATCCTCCCGTGGCGGCAGTCGTTCGAGTCGTAATCGTTTCTCCTATCCATGGCCGAAAAACTTGGACAAGAGTTTCAACCGTCCCAACCAGGGGGGGGGGAGAGGGGGAGAGGAGGGTAGGATGAGTTTGAAGAACAATAGTTGAAATTGGTTGACCAGGAATTTTTATTGGACGAATCGAGGTGGAATCGACGCCTTCCTTCCCTGAAAAGTTAATCCCACCCGTTTTGATTAACCGCCATTGCATTTTTTGCCCGAAGATATCGATTGCAATGATATTTTATAGTAAAGAATCGTGTAAAAATTATATTAAGAAAAACGATATCTAACAAATCTATATCTATATTATCTATTTGCTCGAATCAATTTATTTTTCGTAAAAAAAAAAAAAAAAAAAAAACGTGGCAATTGACATTGTATCGATCTAAAAAACAATCGAGACACTCGTTTCGACACTAGAAAAATAATCAACTCATCGAATTTGAAATTGAATTATTTCGAAAATTATCAATGGTTCAATTGGTTAAAATTTACAAGAGAAATCTGTAATTACGAAATCCATTTTTTAATTTCATCCCAATTTTTTTTACTACAATTATCTTTCATTTTTTTTTATTTTGATTTCATTTCAACTCATACGTGCATGTACAACTGTGTTAATTAAGTAGAATTTGCCAATTGAAATTTCTACGAACAAAAATTGGCAACGATATTTATTTACATTATATACCGATACCGATCGAAAAACAAGAGGCGGTCTATTTTGATTAACGATCACAATAGCTCGCCCCTTCCTTCAAATTTTTCAAAACAACGAATTTTTCGCGCTCGCGCCAAACAGGAAGAAAAAAGTTTTTATCCCGGTTTCTTTGATTCCGGTCACCCATTTTCTAACTCGATAAAATATACAACAAAATACAAAAATGGAGGAATAAAGGTTCGATGCGTATGAAAAGCGAGAAAAAATCGAGCGGGGACCGGCCACTTCCTATCCCTCCTCCCTCTCTCTCTCTTTCTCTCTCTTTCGCCTCGACATTTGCATGAAAATAACGTCTGCGAGAGGAATCGTTATTTTAGAATTCCGTGGAATTAATCCCTTGACCCTCGATCGCAATTTCCAGTACGCTTAATCGAAAGGGGAAATTGATTAACAAATGAACGAACGCTCTGCAGACGGAATAATAATTGATAACCAGCTTTAATATCGAAAGGTTTCGGATTGGTGAAAAAACGTTTTCGAGGGGGAAACAGGTAATGGCTCTTAATCATCTTCTCCTTCCCTTTCTTTATTTTTCATTCCTTCTTTTCGTTCCCACTCTTCTTCCTCCCTTCTTCGAACGAAATCAATTTTATTTCATTAATCTTAATTTTCATTAATCGAATCTCACCCCCTCTTTTTTTCCTTTTTTTAAGAAATACTCTTCGACGTGAAATACGATCAAATTCTTCATTTCGTGGAAATTAGAAAACTTTGATCCAAAATATTACAAGATTTGTTCGGAAAACAAATGGTTAAGTCATTTACAATCATTGCACGAGGATTCGTAATATTTGAAAGTGACAAGCGTCCAGTTAAAATAAAATTTCGTTTTACGAAAAATTGTAATTATTTGGTAAAAAGCTATCGTTTAAACTTCTCGAGTTGGCAGAAGATAGAATAATATCAGAGAAATTGAAATTTATCAAAATTTAACTTGAATATCTCAAGTTGGGATTATTTAAAATTTTTTTCAAAATTATAAAAGTAAGAGATATTGAAAAATTTGACATTGACAGAATCTTTATTGCTAATTAAATTGTTATTGAATAATTTATCCATCTTCCATTATTATTTCTCATTGTCGAATATGTCTTTCGTTTTACTTGGCCAGCATTATTTCCCAATCTCTCTCTCTCTCTCTCTCTCTCTCTCTCTCTCTCTCTCTCTCTC